GGTGCCTTCCCTCAAGGGGATTAGAATCACTTCTTTGTTACTGAACTTCTTTCTTTCTGCTGTGAATAACACCTTGGGTTTCCTGTAATGGCATACATTTTCTTGTTTTCTTTCCAGGTTTGATTTTTGATTAGAGATAAAACAGTGCTTTAGTTTATACTACAAATTCATTATGCTTCCTCCTGGTCAGAAATAAAGAGGCCATTAATTTTGTACAGCTGTACCCACAGCCTTCAGTTCCCATGAGCACCTACTTCCTAAGTGCTGGTCAAGCGAAGTTGCCATTTATATGTTGTTGTTTTTTAAGATTTTATTTGTTGAGGTGCCTGGGTGGCTCAGTGGGTTAAAGCCTCTGCCTCAGCTCAGGTCATGATCCCAGAGTCCTGGTATAGAGCCTTGCATCAGGCTCACTGCTCAGCAGGAAGCCTGCTTCCTCCTCTCTCCGCCTGCCTCTCTGCCTACTTGTGATCTCTGTCAAAAAAAAAAAAAAAAAAATCTTTTAAAAAAAAATTTTACAAAAAAAAAGATTTTATTTGTTTATTTGACAGAGAAAGAAATCACAGGTAGGCAGAGGTAGAGGGGGAAGCAGGCTCCCTGCTGAACAGAGAGCCCCTATGCTGGGCTCGATCCCAGGACCCTGAGATCATGACCTGAGCCAAAGGCACAGGCTTAACCCACTGAGCCACCCAGGTGCCCCACCATTTATATCTTGAGCTCTTCCTTCCCATTCCCATTACTAGTCACTCTCCTCCTTTTTCTGGCTGTTCAGTCCTTGAAGTCTGAATTAATCAAGAATTTTTGAGATTCACTTAACATAAAACTATCTTAAAGAGTACAGTTCAACGATATTCGGTACGTACATTGTACTTGCTACTTCCCAAATTTTTTTTTTAAGTTTACTCATCTAAATCATCCCTACACCCTACATGGGACTCCAACTCATGAACCCAAGGTCAAGACTCTCAAGTTCTTTTGAATCAGCCAACCAGGTTCCCCCCACTTCCAAAACTTTATCACCCCAAAAGAAAATTCCACATCCATTATGCAGTTACTCCCTATTCCTCCTCCCTCCAGCCCCTGGGAAACCACCAATCTGCTTTCTGCCTCTCAGGAGTCTCTTATTCTGGATATTTAATATAAATGGAATTGTATACTCTGATCTCTTGTGCCTGCCATAACCATGCTTGTTACAATGATATGTATGAAGGGGCACCTGGGTGGCTCAGTTGATGAAGTGTCCAACTCTTGGTTTTGGCTCAGGTCATGATCTTAGGGTCCCGAGTTCAAGAGTTCAAGCCCCACGCCAGGCTCCGAGCTCAGCACAGTCAGCTTGTCCCTCTCCCTCCCCTCGGCTCCTCTGCCAGCTTTCATGCAGGCACTCTCTTTCTCTCTCTCTCTCAATCTCTCTCTCTCTTTTAAATAAATAAATAAATAAATAAATAAAGGAATAAATAAAATCTTTTTTTAAAAAGCAGGTTATTTCTTTGGAGCATAAACAACTAGCTATAGAGCCTATCCACAGTAACTGTCTCATTAGGGAGAACTTTGACTTCACTTCTTCATACGCTGTAGCCACACCTCCTCTAAGGAACCTGCGGAAGGGGGTCTAAAGTACCCGGGATATGTGGGAGACAGGACCCTGCAGAGTAAATTAACCAAAATAAATTACTAATAAATTAACCAAAACACTGAGTGTACTAGATAAGTTAGTGTTTTTCTCCTACTATTCCTGATATAGTTGGCTCTTCCATTCTCCCTCTGGTAAAGGAAAGAAATCTTTGTTGGTACTTTCAGCCAATGTATGGGTGAGGAGGAGGAAAGATGTGAGAGTTTGGGGGGAGGAGTAACAAGGCCAACCACAATTTGGAACTGCTGGTATCAAGTAGCTATTTATCAAATCTCATCAAGAATACTGAATATAGGGGCGCCTGGATGGCTCACTTGTTAAGCGTCTGCCTTCGGCTCAGGTCATGATCCCAGGGTCCTGGGATCCAGTCCCGCATCGGGCTCCCTGCACAGCGGGAAGCCTGCTTCTCCCTCTCCCACTTCCCCTGCTTGTGTTCCCTCTCTCGCTGTCTTTCTTTCTGTCAAATAAATAAATAAAATCTTAAAAAAAAAAAAGAATACTGAATATAATAAAACCAAGAGGATTTGATTTAATGATTAGTGACAGAACAATTATTGAGAAGAAAAGCAATAATGGGCACAGACTCTATAAAAACAGAGGAAGGATTTGCCAGTATGTGCCAGGACTTCCTTTGAGCAGAGGGTGATTTGATTTCAACTGTTCAGGACCAGTTAGAGAGAAAGAGAGAGAACGGCGATTCCATAGGTAACATACTGTTTCTAATATGCTATACTTTCTTCAGGAACTGTCCCTTATCCAGTTCAGAGCTGTTTTGTCAAGACTGGAATCATCATTCTTTGTATTACATCACTGAGCAAACAAAGAACATGGGATTTGGTCTTTGGAATGCACCTTCCCACAAAAAGAGAAAAGATCTCCATGCTATCTGGAGCGTCTCTAATTTTCCCTGGCATTTCAACTGGCTAAAGAGCCATGAAGCAAACACTTCGCCAATTTTTCAAAACTATATGAAGTCATACAAACACAAATTGTAGAGTGAAATCATACAAACACAGACTTTTAGAGCTGGGAGAGATTTGAGCTCCACTAGGCCAATATTTTTCAAAATTAGGTTCCAAATGGACCACCTGCTTTGGAATGAATGGCTACTTGTCAGAAAGGCAGAGAACCTGGGCTGCATTCCAGACTTGCTGAATAAACTCTTTGGGGATTAAATCCTGGAATCTGCAATTTTAGACACTCACTCAGACTGCAGTGTGAGAACCGCAAAACTCCTCATTCCCATTTTATTACTAATCAGAAAACCATGTGCTCCCATAACGTGATGCTCACCATTGATATTTTTTAAATATCTGGCCTTCTAAATATATCAGTTCTATAAAATATTTTATAAAACCAGTTCTTTATAGAATATCTGCCATGCACTAGGCAATACGTAGAGTCCCTTGCTTCCATTATGTTGAACAATCCTGCAAGATAGTTGTTTCATATCTGAGCTTCAGTGTTCATGTCTGAAAATTGGGATGATAGTCCCCACCTCTTGTACTTAATATATGCAACATGCTTGGCACAGAAGCTGGCATAAGGTATGTGCATAATAAAGATTAGCTGTTAATACTAATTTTTTTTCATACTTTTCATGTGGGGAAACTGAAACAGACACACTCAAACACTCTGCTAGGAAGTGGCAGCGACAACTGAACTCAACGTGCTTCATTTCAAAACCTAACTTGTCCCACTGCTCTGGACTGTTTTTCATTATGTGCATGATCAGTGAAGCTTCTTTTGTGACTTTTCCCATCGAGAATAACTTTTTCTTCAGCCCTTTGGCCAGCCCTGGGCTTTTGATGAATACTTGTTTGTTCTCGCAACCTCAATGAGACCTGAGCAGCTGCACAGAAGTTGAGTGAGTAATTCCTGTATATGTTTAAAGGTCTGTCCCTCAGCTTGTTCATACCCCAGAGAAATTCAGTAATGTGTCTGGCAGCCAACTGAGAAAAACAAAAATCAGGAAATGCAGAAGTTAGAGCACTCCCAAAACCACATTTCACCCACACGGATCCCATTTTGGGCTTTTTCAAAAACAAGAAAGTATCATATTGAGCAATCTACCTGGTGTCCAAAAATAGTGGTCTGGGGAGACATTATCTGAGCATCTTGGCTCACAGACCCAGGAATGTGTGCCCTTGAGGATTCCCAGGGGGCCTTTTGGCCTCACGCGCTGGCCAGAGTGAAACCTCACCTCGGGCTTCCCATGGTGAAAATCAGCAGTGGTGAAGTCCAGATGTCCAAAACTTCACTCAGCCATCAGAGGCATAATTTCCAAGTCATGTTGTTTTTGTTAAAAATAAACTAACCAGGTTGTCCTGTGGTTTTTCAAGAGAAGTTGGTGAGGGGAGAAGGTAATTAGTAAGGAAGATAAGTTTTAAAAATAGCAAAATGTCCCTTCACAAAATGGTCTTTCTAATTGCACCAACTCCAAATGCCCAGGAATGAAAAATGTTATTGTAATTATAAGAGATGGAATTTTCCTTCCTCTAAAAGAAGGGAAACAGGGAATGAAGCTTCTGGGGGGAACATTTTTTTCTTATGCTGGGCAAATCATGCCTGTTCAGTAGCTTTTTATTTATAACCATTGTGCAAGGTATAGAACTTTATTCAAAAGCTTTTCTAAGGCCACCTGGGTGGCTCAGTGGATTAAGTCTCTGCCTTCTGCTCGGGTCATGATCTCAGAATCCTGGGATCAAGCCCTGCAATGGACTCTCTGCTCAGCGGGAATCCTGCTTCCCCCTGACTCTGCCTGCCTGTCTGTCTACTTGTGATCACTCTCTCTCTCTCTCTCTGTCAAATAAATAAATAAAATCTTAAAAAAAAAAAAAAGCTTTTCTTAAGAAGCTTTCATGAGGGGCACCTGGGTGGCTCAGTTGGTTAAGTTTCTGTCTTCGGCTCAGGTCATGATCCCAGGATCCAAGGATCGAGCCCCACATAAGGCTCCTGCTCAATGAGCAGTCTGCCTCTGCCTCTCCCTCTGCCTCTGCCTCTGCCCTCCCTCTGCTCATGTGTGCAGGCACTCAACAAGTATTCTCTCTCTGCCTCCCTCTCTTGAAAATAAATAAAATTTTTTTAAAAAGCTTACATGAGGGGCGCCTGGGTGGCTCAGTGGGTTAAGCCTCTGCCTTCAGCTCAGGTCATGATCCCAGGGTCCTGGGATCGAGCCCCACATCGGGCTCTCTGCTCCGCAGGGAGCCTGCCTCCCCTTCTCTCTGCCGGCCTCTCTGCCTACTTGTGATCTCTGTCAAATAAATAAATAAAATCTTTTAAAAAAAATAAAAAAATTAAAAAAAATAAAAAGCTTACATGAAATGTGAATAACATCTCAATTTTATCCATCATCCTTGTTTTGTTATGAGCCATCACGCAAACCAAACTAAGCTACTCACTGCTGCTAAAACAAATGAAGCGCATCCACGAAGTCCCAGCTTTTGCTCATGGAGCTTCTGTGACCTGGACAGAGGATACTGAAGTTTTGACCAGGCGTATTCCACATATTCCAAGTACCATGCTTTCACATTCACATACAGCAGCCACCCGAGCTCATGGCATTCAGTGGGTGACACATGTCAGGTTATTGCAATTATACAAGAGGTTAGTAGACAACTGTTTGGGATGCTTTAGGATTCATGCTTTCTTTTTTTTTTTTTTTAATAAAGATTTTATTTATTTATTTGACAGAGAGAGAGAGAGAGATCACAAGTAGGCAGAGAGGCAGGCAGAGAGAGAGGAGGAAGCAGGCTCCCCGCTGAGCAGAGATCCCGGCGTGGGGCTCCATCCCAGGACCCTGGGACCATGACCTGAGCCGAAGGCAGAGGCTTTAACCCACTGAGCCACCCAGGCACCCCGGGATTCATGCTTTCTATGGAGAACTAGAGAGCCATTGTTCCTCAAATTTCCCCCGTAAGAGTAAAATGGGGGCACCTGGGTGGCTCAGTCAGTTAAGCGCCTGCCTTTGGCTCAGGTCATGGTCTTGGGGTCCTGGGATGGAGTCCCAATTCGGGCTCCCTGCTCAGCAGTGAGTCTGCTTTTCCCTCTCCCTCTGTGCGCTAGCGTGCTCTCTCTCCCCCTTTCAAATAAATAAATAAAATCTCAAAGTAAAAAAAAAAAAAAAAGTAATAAATACTGATGATTTGAGGATATAATCCCAAACAACACATGTTAGGCTGAAATTTCCCTGGAATGTAAGTTTCATTCTTAACATTTACATGATGCTCTATTGGCAACTACATTTGTGAGCCTGGCAGATGTGGGCTTCCTCTACATACAAGGGAGGATCATCTTTGAAATCTTTCATGTTTTGAGAACCCTTACTTTTTACATGAGGGTGGGAGAGGATACTGGGGAAAAGCCATACATGTAAGGAAAATGAATGTGCATATTATATTCTACTTTAAATAATGTTTGCTTTTTTTTAATTAAACGTAATCCAAGTTGGCCAGGATTTTTTTCATACGCTGTGAAGTTAACATTGCCGGGAAGAATCTCCCACAAAAATATTTTTCTTTCAGTATTTAGTAGTGAGGGATATTAATGCATTAATGGTAATACATTTCTCATTTAATGTAAATTGAGGATCTTTTTCTAGTTGTTTACGACTGCTGGAGCTTAGTAAGTTCTAACAATTGTCTAAATATGTAATGTTAAGCTTAGGTTTAAAAAAGTAAAGCTGGTAATCTACGTCTTTGCTATTTGCTTAAAAAATACAGGGGCACCTGGGTGGCTCAGTCATTAAGCATCTGCCTTTGGCTCAGGTCATGATCCCAGGGTTCTGGGATCGAGCCCCGCATCGAGCCCCACATTGAGCCCCACATCAGTCTCCCTGCTTGGCGGGAAGTCTGCTTTCCCTCTCCCACTCCCCCTGCTTGTGTTCCTGGTCTCGTTCTCTCCCTCTCTCCATCAAATAAGTTAATAAAATCTTAAAAAAAAATACAAAAGGTATTTGGTGCATTCTTTCCTGAGTGGGGCCATAAATAAAATTTTAAAAAATGCTGTTTCCCTACTCTCTGGAAAACTTGTATGTTCCAGGATAGCATGACCTATTTATCCTGTAGTTAGGATCTAATATACTGCCATGCACTCGTATTTAAATGTATCTTTAAATATGCATGTTATTTTGAGAAGCATAGGGCCAGATATACACCAAGGTTCCTCAACTCTGAGATATTAGGATTCTATAATTTTTATTTTTCATTTTTTATTTTTCATTATTTATTTATTTGAGAAAGAGTGTGGGGAGGAGCAGAGGGAGAGGGACAAGAAGGTTCCACGCTGGGTGCCAAGCAAACATGGGGCCAGATCCCATGACCCTGAGACCACCACCAGAGCTGACCAAGAGCTGGACACCCAACCAAGTCATCCAGGTGTCCCTGATTCTGTAATTTTTAGATCTGTCTTTCACTGATATTTAATTCTTTTATGTTGTCATTTAAATATTTTGTCTACTTTGGAAAGTTTAAACAAAACTACGAGCCCCTTGAAGAACTACAATGGGTGTCATTGTTCCCCTTCAAAGCTCAGCCTTATGATCTCTCATAGTAGGCCTTCGATAAATATTAATTGAACAAACTTTAGTTTTCAAGTATTGTGCTCGTAACTTACAAGAGCTTTTCAAATACCACCTTCAAACAGAACATGAAAACATATTTTTGTCTCTCCAGAACCTTCATTTTCAAGCAATAAACATTTAAAACTTTTACATCTGTTGGAGGAAATCTTTTCATAGTCTCTACACTGAAGAGATTTTCAAACAGGAGATATCCAAGAATGTACTTACGTTGTGTTCATAGATTTTTCCAACACCGTAACAAATCTACTTTATAAATCAAGTAAGTATTCACAGATAATTCTGCTCCAGAAACCAATTTGGAGGAACTGACTCCATAGTCACTTTTTTTTTTTTCCATAGTCACTTTTAATTTAATCTCCACACAATATGTATGGCTCAAACTTATATCCCAGATTGGATATCAAGAGTCATATGCTCCACCAACTGAATTAGCCAGGCAACCCCATAGACACCTTCCTATATCCTCTCCCACACCCCCTATTTTTGTATGGTTCCCGATATGCAACATTTCATTTCCCAGTGGTGCCTGGCTGAGACTCACACCCCATCGTTGAACTGAGAGATGAGAAAAACATTCCGGCTCAAAAACATGACCCACAGATACTGTTGACAAAATGAAGAGCTCCAAAATGCATGTTTCAATTAGATTTAGATTAAATTCCCTGCCAGAGGGAGCCTAGGTGGCTCAGTGGGTTAAAGCCTCTGCCTTTAGCTCAGGTCATGATCCCAGGGTTCTGGGATCGAGCCCCACATCGGGCTCTCCGCTCAGTGGGGAGCCTGCTTCCCCCCTCTCTCTCTGTCTGCCTCTCTGCCTACTTGTGATCTCTCTCTGTTAAATAAATAAATAAAATATTTAAAAAAGAAAATAAATGAATTCCCTGTCAGACACCTGCACGTTTTATGTGGGAGAGAAATTATAACTTCCATAAGTAATTCACTGAGTTTGCCTGACATATCTAGCCAAACCCAGTTCTAAGTGATATAGGAATACAGGGAGGAAAATCCTCTGTAGCTCTGATAAAGGTTCCTGAGCTGATACAGTCAACCTGATCATGATTGTATTGGGCTGGTTTTACCAGCCTGACAGTATTGCATCGACAGTATGGAAGAATGGCTGACGGGTTCAGACGTCACGTGTAGCTTTTCTACTTCTCAGGTATTGACTGAGCTTGTGAAAAGTGGAATGAAAATCTCTTTCCAGCCAGAGGCTGAGCAGAAAGGAGGGCCCTTATGTGAGGAGCCGCTGGATCTTTTTTTTTTTTTTTAAAGATTTTATTTATTCATTTGACAGACAGAGATCACAAGTAGGCAGAGAAGCAGGCAGAGAGACAGGGGGAAGCAGGCTCCCTGCTGAGCAGAGAGCCCGATGCGGGGCTGGATCCCAGGACCCTGGGATCATGACCTAAGCCGAAGGCAGAGGCTTTAACCCACTGAGCCACCCAGGTGCCCCGCTGCTGGATCTTTTTAAGTGATCACAGTTTCAGCCAGAATTATTTTCTTAAGATCTTATTTTTTTCCTAATGTCTACACCCAGCATGGTGCTCCAACTCACAATCCTGAATTCAAGGGTTGCGCACACTGTATCGACTGAGCCAGCAAGGCGCCCCTCAGCCAGAACTTTTTTAAAGATATTATTTTTTATTTGACAGAGAGCGAGAGATGGAGAGAGAGTGGGAGGGGCAGAGGGAGAAGCAGAGGGAGCCTGCTGCAGGGCTCAATGCGGGGCTCGATCCCAGGACCCTGGGACCACGACCCGAGCCAAAACCCAACCAACTGAGCCACCCAGGCGCCCCCAGAACTTTTATGTATGTGTGTGTGTGTCTATGTCTATGTCTATGTCATTCAGAAGATGACTCCACTTCTAGTTTGATTAAATCTTCTTTTTAAAGATTTTATTTATTTAGGGGTGCCTGGGTGGCTCAGTGGGTTAAGCCTCTGCCTTCGGCTCACGTCATGATCTCAGGGTCCTGGGATCAAACCCCGCATCATGCTCTCTGCTCAGCAGGGGGCCTGCTTCCTCCTCTCTCTCTGCCTGCCTCTCTGCCTACTTGTGATCTCTGTCTGTCAAATAAATAAATAAAATCTTTTTAAAAAAATATTTTATTTATTTATTTGAGGGAGAGCACACACAAGCACAAGCAGGGGGAGCAGCAGGAGAGGGAAAAGTAGGCTCCCCACTGAGCAAGGAGCCCAGTGCAGGGCTGGATCCCAGGATCCGGGGATCATGACGTGAGCCTTAAGCAAACACTTGACAGACTGAGCCACCCAGGCGCCCCATCCACTTCAACTTTGAAAATAAGGTCTCATGCTGTATGCAAATCTTCACTGGGACACTACACAGGATAACCAAAAGGTGGAAACAACCCAAGTGTCCAAATGCATGGATAAGTAAAATGTGCTATGTACGTACAATGGGACATTATAAATGTATAAACCCTAAAAAGGTATGAAGTTCTGATATATGCCTAACCATGAATCTTGAAAACATACAAAGTGAAAGAAACCAAATGCAAATGGACAAGCATTGTATGTTTTTCACTTACACAGAATATCTAGAGAAAGCAAATTAATAAAGCAGATCAGAGATTACCAGGAGGTACAAGGAGGGAATGGTGAATTATTGCTTACTGGTCATGAAGTTTCTTTATGGGGTGATGAGAATGTTTTGGAAACAGTGGTGATGGTGGCACAACCTTGTGAATATAATTAATGCCACTGAATTATAGACTTAGAAATGATCAGAATTGCACAAAATGAAAACAAGTGAAACCAAAACCAAACAAAGAGGCATGTGGGTCAGCAATGGGCCAGTTTTCTTATTTCTGGCTGGAATAAAGGGGAATAATTTGATGAGAGAATACATAAAGGGAACTAATATAGCTTGGCATAATCATGAAAATACAGCAGCAATATCATTTGGGCCATTGGGGAATTTCTAATTTTTGGATTTGGAGATACTACTGTCTCTAAAATTAATATTTATCTTTTAGGAGGATGTGTATATATGTGTGGGTGGGTGTGCAAT